ATTAAAAAAGTATGAATTTAAAAATGGCGAATCCACTAAAAAAAAAAAAAAAAAAAAAAAAAAAGACGACTGCAGGCTTAGCCAATTTTTGCAGGTTTCTAGAGCCCTGGCTCTCTGCCTTTTGAAGATGAGTTGCTGAAGCTTCTACCACTGCCTGAGGCATGCTAACACCAGCAGGATGTGGTTTTTTTCCATAGACTTAGTGTGTCTTCAGATTTAAGTAGCACGTGCTTTATCAGTGCCAACTGTGATGGTCCTTTCCCTGGTTGCAATGCTGCGAGATAATCTTTACCCAACATCCTTCAGAGAAACTGCTAAGATAGATGGTGACGTACACGAGTGCCACTTCTGCAGTCTGATTTATGGAGGCATGTTTCATTATGAAGCAAGTGCTGGCCTCTAGAGGAACCATTATAGATTGCTGAAGATGTGAACGCTTTCAGCCCTGAAGGCCTGTAGATGCTTCAAAAATGTAATGCCAAGCACCTAACTACTGTGGAACAATATTAATCTGTCATGTGGGCAGCTATAGATCTACTTTAAAAAACATAAGTGGAAGAACAGCACACTAATAGAGTGTTTTGAGCTTAGATCTTTCACTGCAGCCAGTTTTTCTTTCAATAGAGGTTTCAATAGAGTAACCACATGGTTTTTAAACTTACAACAGATTTTGCAAATGCATTCTTGCCTTCTGGTGTTAAACAATAGTAGGGAAATACTCTAAGTCAGTGGATATGGAAACCGTCACGATCTGGGAAAAAAATGTCTACGGTATTCAATTCTGGAATTCTGGGTTTATCTATACTGTGGTTGTTGAATTCCTAGGGAGATTGGGGGGTATTATATATTTTATGCTGTTATTTGACTTTTGTTGTTTGAAAAGTAGAAGCTCTTTGTCTGTAGAAGAATTACTTGATGTACAGCGAGGCTGTTGTAGCCTTCTGACAAGAGCTTCATGTTTAAGCAAGGAAACAGGCTGCTTGTAACTTCATTTCTTTTCTGTATTTCATCAAAACAGCCAGGTTTAACAAAAAGAGGATCCAAAAGGAAGAGAATCGGTAGAAGCCACAGAAAGCAGAACTATTGTGGGGAAAGGGAAGTAAATCTTTGTGTAATGAGTTCAGGGGCACGGAATAGGTGGGGGAAAAAATGGAAGGAGGCAGTCTGGCAGATATTTAATAACTATTTCTAAAATAGATCACCCCAAAAATGTGAGTTTATATTTACAGTCGTTTATTACACCCTTTTTTTAGTGTGGCAGGAAATCAAGTGGTACTGAATGAAAACAAAATGACTGGAGGGGTAGGAGCAGATTAAAAATAAGAGGGAGCTGTTCTGACTATATTCCTCTTGGGGTGTAGGCGCTTACCCTCCTGCAGCAGCTGTGCTGTCCGAAAAACTGCATCTTGCTCTCCTACCTTCACCTGTTGGCCAGATTTGCTTTTGTGATCATTCTGCAGTCATTTCTTTTGCTAACTGGTTTGGTTTTGACAAACATGGGTTAGGGAGCAATCTTATGAGCAATTCAGCTGGCAGATTTGGGTAATCTTTTGTAAAAGTGGAAATGATGGGCAGGCAGGAGGGGTTGGAGGTAGTAACCTTTTTCAGTTAATAGTTGCAGCTGTCAGAGTAGGTGTGTTCACAAAGAAATTATAGGAAGGAAGAGGACTGGAAGTTGCAAAATGTGTAGACTCAGGCTTTTCTGGTCCACAATTTTGTTTCTGGCTTTGCCACTGATTTTTGAGGTACTTTTGAGCAGCCCAATATCCCCAGAGTGAAGAAGCTGAGGCATAAAGAATGCCTTCCTCCAGATGCTCGATGTCTGCTGAAGATCTTTGCTGTATCAAAGTAGAAAGTAGTCTAAATTCAGCTTTCACTGTGTACCTCTTAGTTCAGTAAAAAATACATCAGGCATAGTACAAAATATTACAAAAACATGTCACTTTCTTCCATTTTTAAACAGCCAACATACAGATTATTCAAATGTTTCTGTGCTCGTATTTCCTA